ACCACGTTCCATGGGGGATTGTTCTCCCCTTTGGCAGAGGAACCCCCAGGAAGGAGGGCCCTGTGATTGCTGGTGCTGGGGAGGAAGGCCAGGATGGCCACTTAAGGCTAAGGGTTGCATGCTTTCTGTGTTGGGCAGCCTCTGAGTGGAGGCTGGAGTTGAGAATGTCAGCAGAATGGCATCCTGTGCTCTCCACCATCGTATTCTTGGAAGGCTCAGGTATAGTGTGTTTCTCTTGGTAAGGTTACAGATATTTCTAATAAGCAAGTATCAGACATGTGTAGGGTTTGCTGTGTGATCTTTTGGAACCTGACCATTAATGGTCAAGTAAGTTCGGGCTGCATTTTGCCCAGAGCTGACTCTGTTATCCTTGATTCTGGCCTCATGCCAGCATGGACAAGCACTGCCTCTAAGAACAGGTCCCAATTAAGTACTTTTTGCCTCCTGCCCTAGATTGGTATGTAGCTCTGGGCTGAACACCTGCTTCACTCCACCCAAGAGGTGGCTGGACTCCTGTGGTGGGCGAGACATTTCCTGGGTAATTTCTCACCTGGAAAGGGCTCTGAGGAGCTGCACTACAATAGGCGAAGTTGTCACTTGAATTCTTTCTCAGAGAGGTGGAGGGTGAAAAAATCCAGACCTTGGGGATAGAGGCCTGGGTTTGAGTTATAGTTCTGCCACTTTGGAACCGAGTAATCTCAGGTGGGTCACTCATCCTCCTTTGTTTTTTTTTAATCTGTGAAATGGGTTGTTGAGAGGCTCAAAAGACAGGATGTAGAATAAAAGTGTTTGCAAACTGTAAGGCACTATATAAATGTTGCTTGTTAGTTTCCTGGTGGATTACTCCCCTTCAGGTACCTCTTACCTTTCACGTGGTCTGGCTTTTTTTTGATAGGATCCTAGTCGTTTATTGATAATGGTGGTTATAATCACAACTGAACTTTATTGAATGCTTATCCTACATACTTTATCCCAGCTCCTTCCCTTAATTTCTTGGAACCTCAGTTTCCTTATCTGTAAAATGGGAATAATACTAGTATCTGTCTTGGGACCCATGTGAGGATTAAATCAACCAATTTAGCATAGTACCTAACATATTTAGTAAGTGCTCAACAAGTGTTGGAACCATACACATAATGTTCTCCCATTTAATTCTCCCTGTGAAATAAGTACTATAGTATTATGCCTATTTGACAGATGAAACCTTTGGGATTCAGAGAGGTAAGTGCCTTAGGTGACCCAGCTAATGATTTGCAGAATCAGGATTCAATCTGAAGCCAGTGTTCTGTCCACCATGGACCTCTTAGTGGGATAGGCTGTAGTCAGGTAGCGTAAGTTAGTAATTTTGGTACCCAGGAAGATTCAGTTCAAGTCAGCAACCATTTGGGTGAAGGCAAAGACACAAATCACAGGCATTTATAGTGTTAATTTATAATGTTAACCACTAATCCTACTTCTTCCTGGTACAACACCCTGGTCTTCCCCTCCATCCAGCCCCATTCTTAGGGGCTAGGTAATTTCCTCCATCTATGCCCCCAACTTTTCCATTTGACCTCTACCCAACTTCCCTGGGAGGGGCCTCAGAGCCCGTCCATTGCTCAGCTCTCCTGAGTCATGATTGTCATAAGTCTTTGTAGGTTAATGCCACCTTCCTTCATCATCTGTCATGTCAACGGCCAAAATTTACACAGGTGCACATTACTTTATTGGTATAACCCATCGTGTATAAGTCCTTGGCCTATTATTTGATATCAGAATAAAACGTACTCCACCCTTATGCTGAAAGTTCCCAGAGGGCAGAGCCCAAATCTCTTACTCTATTTGTAATCCTTCTTCTCCCACAAGAGAAAATAATGTCTACATCTAGCACTCCTCTAAAGAAGGAAGTGGTGTGGCCTCCTTAAGGTGTAGAAGGTGCCGATTGGGAGAGCAGGCAGGATTCCAAATGGGTGGGTGAAGCCAGAGGCTCCTAAAAACGCCAAAGGAAGGCTAAGTATAGCGTCCATTTGAATAACACCTTTTGCTTTTCAAATTAATCTTATATTTTTTCATAAGCATGACTCCCTATGAAGCTATCCCTGCTCTCAAGGACCATGCAGAGGGGCCTGACTTATCTTTGGTATTGGTGAAACCTAACATAGAGGTTATATATCTGGAGAGGCCAGAGGGAATAGCATAACCAGACTTTTTTCTCATTTGCCCTTCAGACCAAGCCAGTGGAGGAAGCATTGACTGGTCATATGACCATGGCATCAAATACTCATTTGCCTTTGAACTGAGGGACACCGGTCGATATGGTTTCCTCCTGCCGGCCAGGCAGATCTTGCCCACAGCTGAAGAGACCTGGCTTGGCTTGAAGACAATCATGGAGCATGTGCGAGACCATCCCTATTAGGGCTTTGGGGAATAGACACCATTAAAAGCTCTTTGATTTGAAGCAAAGTTGGGTTGTGATTATTCCTTTTTCTAATCCTGATCTTGGAGCACTATTTCTTTGATTTATGTTGCCCTAAAACATAACAGGCTACTGAGCTGTACCCCTTCATCTTTAAAAACAAACAAACAAACAAAACCCATCCTGAGCGAAAAGGCTCCCAACATCGTTTAAGAATTTTTTAAAAATTGTGGTAAAATATACATATCATAAGATTGACCATTTTCACCATTTTTAAGTGTGCAATTCAGTGGCATTAAGTACATTCACAAGGTTGTGCAATCATTACCATCATTCATCTCTGGAAATTTTTCGTTATCCCAGACTGAAACTCTGTACCCATTCAGCATTAACTCCCCATTCTCCCGCCCGCCCTGCCCCCGGAAACCTCTATTCTACTTTCAGTCTCTATGAATTTGCCTATTCCAGGTACCTCATATAAATGGAATCATACAGTATTTGTTCTTTCGTGACTGACTTGTTTTACTTAGCCTAATGTCCTCAAGGTTCATCCGTGTTGTGGCATGTGTCAGCCCCTTCACCTTAATAGAGTAGCATTTTGGAGCTAGCAAGGGACTTTCGAGGTTCTTTATTCAATAAATACTAATTAAACAACTACATTGTGTCACACATTGTCCTAGATACTTACATATCTTCTGGTCCCATTGTTGCTTTTGGCTTTTTCCCATTTCTAGTATGTTGCATTATAAAAACAAGTGGGAACCCAAACCAATGATACCAATCAAACCTGGGTCTCAGATTCTTCTTTTTTTTTTTATAAAAATTTAAAATTTAAATAAAAATTATTTATTTGAGAGAGAGAGAATGAGAGACCGAGAGCGCGAGAGGGAAGAGGGTCAGAGGGAGAAGCAGACTCCCCGCTGAGCAGGGAGCCCGATGTGGGACTCGATCCCGGGACTCCAGGATCATGACCTGAGCCGAAGGCAATCGCTTAACCAACTGAGCCACCCAGGCGCCCCCCTGGGTCTCAGATTCTATTTAATTTTTTTTAGACATTCACTTCCATTAGGGATTGAGATTTTCTTCCTTTTGATGGTTTTCTCTGGGAGAAGAAGGTGGGAAGTGAATGTCAGCTTGCCTAGAATTCTGGGTCCTTGATTCTTTAGTTCACATTTCTTGCAGATTCAGCTCCTAGCTTCTCTTGTTACTAATTTCAAAGCTGAAATCTACCTCGGAGCCCAGCCATTGTTATGGACCAGGGTGTGTGTAGGAGTTCCGTTTCAGTGCTCAAAGGACGAAAGAGTCCTGATAAAGCCCCCGGTTCCATAATTCCTGACAAAGACTCTCCTTGACCCAAACTTACTTCGGCTTCTCTGGACCCTCTTTTTGACCAGGCCTTGTCTTGGCCCCTGTCTAAGTCAGTCTTAGCAAAGAATCCTGCTAAATCATCCCCTAGTCCTTGATATCTGGTTGAATTCCTCATCCTCCAACTTTGATGACTAAGTCCTTGGTCTGCCTTTGGCAAGAACCTGTGAGTCCAGTTAAACAAGAAGACCCCTACCCTTGATGTTTCCTCTTAGCAGTATTCCATCCACTGACTCCCTTCACTCTGCTCTCTTTACTGTACTTGGAGTTGAACACAATTACTCCCTTCTGTTGTGTGAGCCCTATTGTAATAATCTTGAATAAAGTCTTCCTTACAGTTTTAACAAGTCTCAGAATAATTTTTCTTTAACACCCCCGACAATGACCATCAATTGTATCCACCCTCCTTGAGCAAGAGCAGAAAGAATGATGTAGACCATGGGGACAGTGGGATGGGGGAGGCTTTGGGTTTGGGGCTCTGAATGTGAGGATTTGGAGCTCCCAGGACAGACTTGAAGGCCTCAGAGTCCCTAAGGAGTCATGCAGATCATGAGTGCCTTTCATTTATTCTGATGTGATTTGGTGGAAAGGACACCAGACTCGGAGTCTAGCAAACGTAAAAAAGTCTCATTATTAATAATACCATTAAGCCTTACCTTTACTCAGATCCCAAGGAAAACTGATATTTTATCCAGACTAACACTTCTTCCTTCCGGAACATTGACCTCATATATTTCTACTTTTTTAGTGGAGTCATAAGAGTTAGGTGTCAGATTCATAACAAAGGTCACAAACTCTCATCATCATGACCTGCTCTGGTGAAATTCTCTGACAGGGCTTATCAAGTGTGTGGTCTTGGAGTTGGCTTGGGGTTTCTTTGATAGTCTTCACTTTTTTTTTTTTTTTAACTCTAGAGGTAACTCCATTTCAGGTTTACAATTTGGCCTCTCAGTATAAATTCTTTCCAGCACTGTGGGACTTGCCTATTTACTGAAAAAGCACTATTTAAATACCAAGCGATGAGCAATATGGCACCTTTGGCACAGACTTCCAGTCTGAGGAGCAAGTTCCTGATCTTGTAAATCAAGAGGCCTTTATCACCCAAAAGGAATGGAAGAGGCATTGGTAGGAGCCCGCTGACGTACCATCACAGTTGCAAGGGTGCTTGGGAATCACAGTAGCATTTTTGAGGACATGAGTCTGCCTCACACTTCTTATAAATACAGCTTGACTCAGCCACTCCATGACTGACACTCTTGGGACATGAAGTGGATACTGTTCTTTGGGGCCCTGATCGGGCTCAGCATCTGTGGCCGAAAAAGGTTTTTTGGGTAAGTTCCTTTTGGACTTATTATTATTACTTGGTTGGTTCAGTGATATGGGAACCAAATGGATTTGAAAATGAGTGGCTGATTATATCTCAAGTGGAGTTGGCATTGGGAAAGAAGACACGAGCTCATGTCCCAATTCTGCCCTGTGTCATCCTGGGCAAGCTCCTTCTCTCTTAGGCTCAATCCTATCTGTGAAATCAGACAAGATGGCCTCTATAGTCCCTCCCTGGCTCCCTAATCTCCTGCCAGTTCTTTTCCTTCCCAGTTCTTATTTCTAAAGTCAGGTTCAGGCCTCTTCTGCTTTCTTACTTCTATATTATGAAGTACCAAGAACTCCCAGAAATTGTTTCTAATTTCTGCCATGCTTAGGGGAAAACCTGGGTCTTAGGCTCTTTGGTTTCACCTCTCTGTTAGCAGGGAAGGCTTTGTAGAGCTGGGGCTCTCTCATCAGCGCCTGGGACACGGAGATTCACTAGTTCTTGCCTAGCCACAGTGGTGAGACTTGACATGTAAGGGCACACCTGTACACCGTGTGTGCGTAGGTGTGTGCGTGCACACGTGTACATGTACACACATGCTCAACACGCTCCATGCAGAATGCTTTGCAGTTTGTGGAGGAGAGGACATTTGGGAGGTAGGAGAGATGAAAGGATGCCATGGTCCCTTGCTAGAAGATGGAATTCTAATAACTCGTTACTGCCTAATGCTTTGCCATTTGCAAAGAGCTTTCATGTGCATTATCTTTTGGATCACGCAACAACTCTGCTGGGCAGGGGTGTTATTTTCCTCAATTTGAACATGAAAAAACTCAGCCTTAGAAAGGTTAAGGAACCTGCCCAATGCCACTTAGCTGGTAAGCAGGGGAGCTGGAACTCCGAAGGCAAAACCCATACCCTTTTGCTATAACACAAGTTAATCTCCAGATAGAATCCTCTATCTCACAGATATATCTGTATCTGTTAGTTTACTCTCTAATATGCTAGCTGGCTAAAGGGACTTGGGGGTTGTTTATTGAGGTAATTACTTATATGAGATTGAGTAATTTTTATGGTAATGACTTCTTTTCACACCTGGTGTCTACTGTCAAATAGCTCAGAGGGGTTAGGCATAGCAGGTGGCCAGAGAAGGAGATTTTTCCACAGGCAGCTCAGCAGTAGGTGTGTAATAACTATGCTTGCTGCCGTGTGGCTGATGCACGGAGCTGTCAGGCTCTCACTGCAGCTATTCACATGGCTGGAAAAATCTTTATTTCTCAGGATGCAGACTTCGCTTACAACGTAGCGGACGCCTGAGTTGAGACAGCTGGGCCTGGCGCTGGAGTGCCCACCATGGGAGCTTACACAGAAAGGGCTGCGTGTCTGAGCTAATTGCAGATGGTTTTAACTGATGGTGTCATCCTCACCCCAAAATCTGTTCTCCCCCTATAGTAGGGAACCCAGCAAAGGTGGTGGGATCCTTCCAGGGGCTCATAGACATGTCCCACACACCCAGCTCAGTGAACATTTCTAGCAAGGGGAAGCTGGGCTCTCTGAGCTTTCAAGTGGTGGGAAGCCAGAGCACAGGTTGGCTGGGAGGGGGGACAGTACCAATGGAGATGGAGGTGATGGGTTTTCTCCCCCACTCTCACCCCCCAGCTTTTGTTCCTTCCACCTAATGCCCTACTGCCCTCCCCCCAGTGTCTCGCTCTGCTGGTGTCTTCTGTCCTGCCCTTTGGTCATCTTAAGGATGGGCTGGTGGCCAGAATGCCTAGAGGTACAGGGCAGGCAGAGAATAGGAACGTAGTTGCAGAACCGGTTGGAGCATCAGCAGTAGTTGGCAGGCATTTAAGAGTTCCGTGAAACCAACTCTTGTGGTGGCTCCTAAGCCTGGTCGGGGATATGGGCGAGAGATGCACAAAGAACAGGCCCCTTGGCTTGCCTGCATGGAAACGAGGGAGGGATAGAAGCTCAGCACCAGGGGGGCTGTTAACTATCAGAACGTGGGATGTGGGGCACCTGGGTGGCTCAGTCGTTAAGCGTCTGCCTTCGGCTCAGGTCATGATCCTGGGGTCCTGGGATCGAGCCCCGCATCGGGCTCCCTGCTCCGTGGGAAGCCTGCTTCTCCCTCTCCCACTCCCCCTGCTTGTGTTCCCTCTCTCGCTGTTTCTCTCTCTGTCCAATAAATAAATAAAATCTTTAAAAAAAAAGTGGGATGAGTGTGAGGGTGAATGAGAGGGCGCCAGGAGCACCAAGAACACCTGGGTGGAGTAGCAGGGGTAGACACGGCAACTTGCAAATCCCAATATGCAAATCCCAGACCAACCTTCCATTTGCAGGGAGTTTGAGATCTTTGCATGGATTTCCAGACGTCAGAGATAGGTTGTGTTCAGCTATCTGCACTTTCAGGACTGGGAAAGAGCATTTTTCAAATAGAGACAAGGATGATTAGGGCAAGAAAATGGCTGCCCTTCACCGGCATCTACTTAACGTTCTCTCTGCTTCTAGGTTTTGATGGACTTAGGCTCATGAGAATGGTGTTAGATCTGCCAAACCACCCCCCCTCTTTTTAGTGCCCTCTGAAGACTGTCCCTAATGTTGCCTCCAGGTTAGGGGGAACCTCATGGGTGATGACAGTTGGTTCTAAAGCCTGGGTGTGAGGTTGCTAGGCAGATAAGGAAAGGGGCTGGGCATCCGGGCAGAGGGAACAGCATGTGCACAGGCATGGAAGGGCAAAGGACATGGTGAATTTGGGATTTCAGTAAGGCTGGAGCTGAGAGGGTGGAGGAGGGAGAGGTGGAGGAGAAACAGGTGGGGAAGGGCTCCACTCTGCACCAGCCCTTCCACTCTGTCTCTGTACTCCAGTTGTGTCTTTGTCCTCTGTAGCTTGGTTCATAGGGCATGATGAAATGTGCTGTGGATTTACTCATGCTCAGGGCCAGTTAGATCCACTGACATGGGTTGTGCCCAGGAGTATGGAAGTTCTGCTGTGAAGTCACCACTCCGGGAAAAATAAACTGCATGCTCTGGGTGCCTGTGTAACATGATCTTCATACTCTTGAGAGCCCCTTATTCTTAGGTTCCTCTTTTCTTCCTGTTCCTTCCCTCCCCTCCTTCCTTGTCATTGTTCTAGTCAGTGCTGTATTTTACAGATGCCTCATTTTGCGGATAGAGATGTCAGTGCACAGGTGCTTTCTAGAACACTCAATTTAAAGACTCCTCTTTTTCTGGGGTGTTGGGGGTGGGTTGTGACAGAGTGTAAGTTCGGCAGATGGGCCCTGGTACTTAGCCAGGAGTAAGGATTTCCCTTCTGTTTTAAACCTGTTCCTTTTTTGGGAGGCTGCTTGCCTGTGTCGGGGAAATGGTGGTTTGACTCCCCATCTTCACAGGGCTGTGGTTCAACTCCTAGCAAGCCTGTTGGGTTCAGACTGAGACCTGCCAGGCCAGTGGCTTCTCCACTGTGGCCTCAGCAGCTCCCAGGGCTTGTGCTTGGCGGCCCATCTCCAAGGACCCTGTGGAGACTGGTTGAGCCGGGAGAAAGTGAGCCCTTTGGCGTTGGCATTTCCTCCAGACCTGCCACCCGCAGTGGCAGCAACTCTGTGGTGGACCTTGCCTCTTTGGGGCTGGACTAGACCCCCTGGAGATTCTCCAGAACCTCCCGGAACAAAGTGAAACCCTGAGAGTCCCATCTGGATTGAGCCGGTTTTCTGATGAGAAGATGCGGATCTGCCACGTGAGGCTGCACATTTAGCTCCCTGTGACAGAACCATTTTCCCTGTCAACAGGTCCTTCAGCCCACAGCCCTCTCCAGCAGTTCTTCCCGCATTCATTCGTGTAAAGGGATGACGCATGTGACAGCGTCGAGTGCGGATTCATTCGGGCCGTCACCTAGCAACGGCCTAATGGCTCCCCTGGCTCCCTGAGCCGGCTGAGAGCACAAAGGCAGCTTTTCAGGCTTGGCCTTCTCCCACCCACACACAGGACTTCAGGGGCCTCGGCCCCTGCCGCTGCTGCGGAAGCTAAATGGTGTAGATGAAGCAAGTTCAGGACAAACAACAAAGGGGGGCTCGGGACTGGCCGGCTCCCTTCTGGGCCCTTCTCAGGGCCCCCTTGGGGGGACTGAATCCCAAGTCAGCCCCAGCACCCTAGCCCGTATTGTACGCATTTGTATTGAGTTCTGGAGCTGGACAGGATTGAGAGACCACCCAGCAAATAGCTAACCCTCTGAGGATGGAAGGTCTTTTCTCTTTTCCAGCTCTTTCCAGCGTGGACCTTCAGCCAGAGTTTCAGTCCTCGCCCCTGACAGTGAAGAAGTGCTTCGTTATGTCTTGAGTTAGCTTTGCGTGTAACTCAGGAACATTCCTTTCTGCAAAATATATATGTTTTTCATTATAAAGTAATATGACCACATTACAGAAAACAGATACAAGGGTAAAAAAAGTCAGTCATCCATAATCCCACGACCCGGACATAAGCACTGTCAGCATTTGCTATATTTCCGTTGTCTGTTTTTCTTCCAATGCATCTGCTTTTTCCATACTTGTAATCATGGCATACATACAATTTTGTGTCCTGCTCTTTCACTTAATATTTCCCTTCAAGTTATACTATAAGCACTTTTTCATATTTGCCACGTAGTCTTATTTTTAATGGCTATACATTATAACCAAAGACTAGACCATTTCCTCTCATTCGGCCCAGTTATGTCTGGGACATAGGCTTGGGGTTTATTTGCCAGCTGAAAGCTCACCATTATCTTTTGCTTTTTTTTTTTCCCTCCAGGGACCAAGTTTTTAGGATTAACGTCAGAAATGGAGACGAGATCAGCAAACTAGGTCAGCTAGTGAATTCAGACAACCTTAAGGTACCAGTTCTTTGTCCTCTTGGGTATCTCTGACTTTGGTGAGAGGAGGCTCTTGCACCACTGGCATTGTTACTCCTGGAGAGTTTTTGTTAGTATAGTCCTGTATTAGTCAACAGGCCCTCACACGATTGTGAGGGTTGATGGGGAGAAGTGCTGTAGATCACAACACTGCTGTCCTGGGAGCTGGGCAGCCTCAATGGTGGGCTCTATCTTTCTATCTGCCTTCTTACTACTTACTACTTACTACCTCTTAGATTTTGCCAGGTATTGCCTTCTGGGTAGGCCTGACCAGACACAGCTGTGAAATGGGCAAAGTTTGCCCTTGGGCAGAACCCAGCTCCTCAGGGATCACCCTTGCTTTTGGCAGTTGTTCTAGAAGAATGAGCTCATTGTGCCTTTTACCTGAACTGTCCTTTAATCTGGTTTTATTTCCATTCTCTTCAGCTCAACGTCTGGAAATCTCCCTCCACCTTTAGTCGTCCCATGGACGTCCTGGTCCCATCTGTCAGTCTGCAGCCAGTGAAATCCTTCTTGAAGTCCCAGGGCTTAGAGTACTCCGTGACAATTGAAGACCTGCAGGTGGGTAGGCCGAGGTCCCTAACTGGTCCTGCATAGGACAAAGCACCCAGAGTGGACCCGAGACATGTGCAAGTCATGGTCTTATCCTTCTCCATTTTATAGATGAACTCACTGAGGTCCATGGAAGTAAAATGCAGTGACTTGTTAGTGGGAACATGTTGTAGTAGAAAGGGCATACATAGGTTAGGGAACTGGACAGATCTATATCCAAATCCTGATTTTGCTAACTATCAGCTGTGTGACTTTGGACAAGCTATTAACGTCTTGAGCCTCTGGTTCTTCATCAGTAAAATGGTAACAGCGATGCCCACTTCATACAATTTATCGAGAAGATTAAATGTATTAAGTGTATGTGAAATGCCCAATGGTACTTGGCCTGTCATAGATGCCCCACAAGTATGAAGCTTCTCTCCCTTGTTGTATTTGAAGTCAGAGGGAAGAAAAGTGTGTGTGTGTGTGTGTGGCGGGGGGGTTGCTGGGGGTGTTGGAGACCAGTCATAAAAAGTATCTTTTGAGAAAGAGGGAATGTCACCAATAGTTCTCAGCAGAGGGAACATCACCACCCAAGCCAGACACAAGCCTCAGGACCTGTATCTGAACAGCAGGACAGTGTCTGGCTCATGTTCTCTCCCTCACCGAGGTGGGTTATGGACTAATTGGTGATTTGGCCCGGGAGTTTCCTGATGGCGTGAGCAGCTGTGAGCTTATTAATCATCCTCACATGTCACGGACATCTGCCAGGAGCCTTCAAAGTATGAGCGGTTATAAGAATTTCTTTGTTTCTGAATGGTTTCCCAAGCTGTGTATTTCAGAGACACTGGATACCAGATGCGGGCTGATGTCTAGAGAATTCATAGTATAGAATAACCAAATAGCACATATGTTGCTTTTGGGGAGTAAGTGGGTTTTGAATGGGGTGATGTACGTTGGGTGCCAAGAAATAAGCTTTTATAGATATGTGGAAGAAATCTGACCGCCTTTCACACCTTGACGTTTGTGTGCCAAGGGTGCCGCCATCTTGGCCAGCTTGTGCCAAAATATGGCAGAAACAACATGAACCTCCATCTCCAGTGGGTCACATCACAGCGTTGCCGTGTCTGTTTTAGGCCCTTTTAGATAATGAAGATGAAGAAATGCAACGCAATGAAGGACAAGAGCGGAGCAGTAATAACTTCAACTATGGGGCCTACCATTCCCTGGAAGCTGTAAGTGTCTCAGAGCAGGTTAAGATCAAGGTCATTAGCATCCTGGGTTTTGTAACCCCTTTCCTAACTTCTAGGAGGCATTAGTCCTTAGCACAGTACCCCTTCACTAAGGGGCTAAAATGTGAACACTTCAATTTGTTTTGTAATTCTTGGGTTGTTTATCTCCCACCAGCACCTAAGAGCATAGTGAAACACAACTGAACATTTTCTCCCACATGCATCCTTCTTTTCTAAGGCAACCCCTGAAAGAAAACCATGAAATAATTACAATCATTTCCATCCTTGTAATTCAACCTTCTTATACCCCACCATAATCCCTGTATTTTACTCACCCAGATTAAAATGTTACTTATTCCAGGCAAGTAGACAAGTGGTTATTTCCAAGGTTAACCAAATATTTCCACGCATTTATCATGATTACTTATAATGCATATTCTATAATGTGTTTTGGTGCTGTGTTTAGTTAAAAACCATTTTATATAGATGACTGATTTTCAAGGTAAGCCAACACTTCCAGTAAAAAACTTGGAGCAGAACCACTTAATATGATACTAGAACTTGAGGAATCAAGAGGGGCTATAGAATGGGACTGCATCATGTATCCTACAGTTTCCTTACGACCCCTAATGTCTTCTACATTAGTCTGGACACTCTCTACTAGCTCAGAACAACACCTCAAAATGAAATTGTTTTTCTCCTTCCCATACCTGCATACACGTTGTTCTTTATATCCAAAGATGGGGTTCCTGGCATGCTTTTTGTGAGGCATATACTTTGAGTTGTTTTTCTTCTAGATGAGGGATTATTTCCAAGGTTGACCAACTGTTTTCACTTCTTTCCCATGATTGTCAGTAGCTTTGTTTATTGTGTACACTTCCAACTGCACTGCCCCTTGATCCCTTTTGTGACCAATGACATACATCTGCAAAACAGCTGGATAAAGTTAGAAGTTCAGTCCAGGGCCATGGACAAAAGCAGAGCTCAGGGCTCACACAGGGCTCAGTCCCATGATGTGAGCCTCGTTAACATGGCACACTCCCTAGCTGAGCTAAGTGGTTGCAAATGTCACCCGAGACCCCAGGAACTCCATCCCCTCACCTGCCTGCTATGGGAGCCGCACTTTCTCATGCACTTGCTTTTGCTCTCTGGCTTTAGGGGCCACTGCCGTCTGATTGCAGCTTCCCCCACGCCCCCCTACCCCCCATGAGGCCTTCTGCTGTGCCTCAGTGTACTGTCTCCCTCTTGGCTTGATCACATGCAGTTCTTTCTAAAAACAGCTTTGAAGAGCCCTCATCCTGTAACCGCTTAGGCCTCATTGGGTCTCTGGTGGGAGTCTTATGTCTGTCTCAGCCAGAGTTTCCAATTTCAGATTTTCTGTGTGTTGTTGTGGTTGCCATTGTTTCTGTTAGTTTCTCGGCTGAGTGTCCCCCTCATGTTGGCAGTGTGAATTTGGACCCCTCCCTCCCTATATAGCTTGGTATTTTAACTTCTCATGGGGGGACTCTCTTGCCTCTCATGGCTCAGGCTGGGCATCCGGCTTTTGCTTCACTTTCTAGGGTCAGTAGGTAGAGTTTCCAGGCCCTTTTCATGGCTGGAATGAATGGTTCTCAGCTCTCAAGTTCTAGCTCCTTGGCCCACCCCGGTCCTGTGCCCTCAATCACTATTCCTGACTTGCTGTAAACCCTCAGTGCCTAAGGCAGATATCTGGTCCTGAGGCTCCATTTTCTGCCCTCTATTCAGCTGGTTATGTCCCTTCTCACTTCTGGCCCCTACAATGTCTCCTTTCTTGATTTTTAAGCTTGGCTGTGAATTATTTTCATTGTAGTTTATCTGGCTTGAGTATATATTTGGGGGGTGGTTTCTCGCTTCTGCTCAGTTTGCCATATTGACTGCCACTCTGATAAACCACTGAAGCTGGAGTTTTATTCAATATTGATTGTGTATTTTTCTCCTCTGTAAAGCTCCCTCTTCCACTTTTAAGATCTAAATATGAATTTCTTTATTTCCTTCTTTTGCCCTCAGAAGTTTTGAGCAACTAAGATGGATGAACTCTATATATCAAGTTTTTTTAGAAATTGAAACCAAATGGAAGCATTTGTAGCCGTGATTTACAGCTCTTCACTCGTTCTCTTAAGGCCGTTAGAGGAATCTCCAAAGTGGTGTGCTTGCACTACAGGGTGTAAGCAAGATGCTTCACCGGGATGGAGGAAGAAACTATTACAACTTCTGTTTACGTCCCACATACGTTTATATTTATTATTCATGCCACCATTTTGCTTCTTTTTTCTTGTTTTATAATGTACATAATATATTTGATACATTATTCCAGTGGTATACATAATGTATTGTGTATATGTAATATACATAGTATATGTATATTATAAAACATATATATATATGGTGTATTCTAATTAAAAAAAACTGGTGGAGGAAGTGATCAAAAGGTTTGGAGAGGACCGTTTTCAAGAACCTTGGCTAAATGGGGCAATTGCTGATCATCCAGTCTGGTGTGGTATGAAGGACTGCACTGCTAGAGCAGTATGTGCACAAGTCTCTCTCATTTAGTGGCCTATAATTTTATGGACAGATAAAATGTGTTATTCTCTAGAATGTTGTAGAGAAGGACTCTTTAGGCAGTTCTTCAAGAATAAGTATTCCATGGTGATAATACTGTCAACCCTGAGATCACAGAGCTGGATCTAATCACTGATCAAATCAATGAAGAAGTCATTGGGATCCGTAAGATGAAGTTCACAGATACCTACCCAGAAAAATTTTCAAATGCCCCTGAGTTCACCTTTTCATGCTTCAGATTTACCGTGAGATGGACAGCATTGCCAGAGATTTTCCTGAGTTGGCGAGCAGGGTGAAGATTGGGCATTCATTTGAAAACCGGCCCATGTATGTACTAAAGGTGAGTCCCCAGGCTCTTCAAGAGGCCTGACTGGACTCAGGCTCCTGGTCCCTTGTGTCCAGGACCCAGCCCTCAGACCTCTGAAGAAGGCAGGTTTTTAGGCTCTCCTTGACTTCGGGGACGTGGGGAGACATCTACTGAGGTTCAAATTTGGTGTGACCGAGAGTCCCCTGTTTTTGCCTAACATGGAAGGAGTTAGAACTTAGAAGGAGTCCATCCCATTGCAAGTTTTGAATGAAAGGCAGGATCAACTGGGGTAGGGTGGTGGTGGTGGAGTGGGTGAGGGGTAGTGGGGATGGGGGTGGGGTGGGTCGGTTAGCCTTCCAGAAAGCGCTCAGATGGGCCACAATCTTTTGCCTTCATTCTTACCTCTAAAAAGCAAGTCAAATTGGGATAGTTCTACAAATTCTATTCTGCTTTTAGGGGTACTTATTGGAAAAGCAATCTAGGAAGCTAATTTTAGGGTTGATGTAATTTTAAGCCCAGCCTATGATCCTTGGCTGCACAAAGCCTAATTTCTAGATATTTCTAACAGATTCAGGTCTATATTGGCAAAAGAGGTAGAGAATTTATGGCAGGGACATAAATTACATAAATAATCCAGCCAAATGAATAAAAAGGAATTTGGAGATATGAACCATGGAACAACTGAAGGTGCTAAGAATTTGTCAGATCCTTAGCTTCATATCAGCCCTGAAGAACCCAGGCTCATGGCTTGAATTACCAGCCAGAGGAGATTTGCCACCAAGCCGGTCGCTCTAAAATAATCCACATAAATTGAGATTATTTGCCAACCTGATGGAGACTCTGGCTTCATTCGCACCACGTTTTGACCCAACGCGGCCTGGCCCCACCCTTAAATAAGGCAGGAGCCAGAATTCATTTAATGCCATTTCCAAAGAGGTATAGTGAACCTCTCTCTTCCTCCTTTTAAAATCAAATTCATTTATTGCATCAACTAGAACAGGCTGGTTCCTGCATTCTTGTGTCTCTCTCTGTTGGGGTGCCCTTCGAGGTCTTTCAAGAGACATAATATTATCTCTGATCACACTGGTATTCTCATTCACAATAGCAATAGTTTCCCCTTCCCATTTGCTTCCAACCCCAGAGTGGCTCGAGCAGCCCAGGGCTGCGGCTGGGCCTCACCAGCCACCCAATTAAGCTCCCTGGTCATGGATAAGCCTGATAAATAGATTGTGCCCTCAGGAACATTTGGTCTCTGAATTATCTTAAATGGATTAAATGAATAGGGGTGAGCTGGGGAGAGGAAAGGTGAGTGGAGACATGGGCAGGAGGGTCATTTTCTGGCCTCTTTGTCCTTCCACAGTTCAGCACCGCAGAAGGCAGGCGGCGGCGGCCGGCCATTTGGCTGAACGCAGGCATCCACTCCCGGGAGTGGATCTCGCAGGCCACGGCGATCTGGACCGCGAGGAAGGTCATGTCGCCCGGTATTAGCTGAGAATTCTGGTGGGCCCAGGGTGCCTCCGCAGGGTCCCAGGGGGCTGGGCCTCGGGGGACGAGGTGGGAAGTCACTCTGCACAGACACAGTAGGCTGGGGGGCCTTTCCCGATTGGAGAAGCAAAAGGTCAGAGCCCTTTGGTCAAGCCACTGTGGCTAAATGACAAAGTCCCTTCATGGCAGCGAGCAAGCTAATGAGCTGCAGAGGTGGCCCTGAAACATTGACCCATAGTCAGCCCCGCAGAAAGGGAGCCGAGTCTTCTCAGCAGCAAAACTCAGATGAACTTTGCCCTCGGACCCACCCTAGCCCTCCAGACCCTCAGGGACCTCATGCTGCCTCCATGTCACCTCCCCCCACCCGCTCCGAGAGTCTGCTTTAAGGCAGCACTAGGGAGAGGAGGGGTACTGTGTGTGCAGGATTTATTTTCCGCGTCTGTTAGCATGGGGGCCCAGATTTCCCAAAACTATGATGATGTGTGGCTCTTCCCTCCCTGGTTCCCACCCCCTGGAAGGAGTGAATCAGCCAGGCAGGCCCAGCCTCGTTGCGGTTGATGGCATCATGACGCCATGATCCCCCAGGTTTTGAAGCGCTCCCAGAGCTTTGCAGAGAGCTGTGTGTATGAGGGTGGCAGGGGGGCTGCAGAGGGGCATCTGGGGGAGTTACACAGGCTTAGACCGGGCACCCCAGCCGGCCATGGCATAGCTGACAAGCTTCTTGTCTCTGTTTAGATTGTATCTGATTACGGGAAGGATCCAGCCATCACCTCCATTTTGGAGAAAATGGATATTTTCTTGTTGCCTGTGGCCAATCCTGACGGATATGTGTACACACAAACTCAAGTGAGTAATACCGAATGAGCTGGGCTTGAAGTTAAGAAGAGTCTGTTGAATTCCTTGCTGTAGCACCTGAACAGTTGTAGGAACACGTGTGCATGTTACAGGCTTCCCTGGGCTCCCATTTTTCACTCGTTCCCTGAGCCGGGAGTCACCAGAGAATATTTTTTCTTAGAATAGTCTAATGAACTCCCTATCATGGATCTTGAACAATTACCAACACTTTACCAATTTTCTTTTCATTTCTTCCCCTCCCACACATTTTTTTTTCCTTTTGTTTAAAAGCACATCTCTGACATCAGGTTATTTTATGCCAAATTTCTTTAGTATGCATCTCTGGTTGATGATAATTAAAACAAAACAACAACAAAAAAAACCCCCAAACAATACACGGCTGTCACTTTAAAAAAAATTAATGGAATTTATTTAATATCATCTAATTCCCCCAATTATTTTTTAAATGTCTTTTGAGTCAGTTTGTTGAAATCAGTACCCAAATAAGGTTTGCACCTGTATTTGGTTGTTGTGGCTCTGCAGGCTTTTCAAATCTATGGCAGTTACCCGCCCCCACCCCTGCCACACACATCTCTTTTAAAAATGTCATTCATGTGCTGGAGAAACCAAGTAAATTGTCCTGTAGAATGTCTCACATTCTCAATTTGGCTGATGGCTTCTTTGTTGTGTGTCATTTGTTCCTCTACCCCCCCGTTCCCTTCCTATTCACTAGTAGTCAGAGCTTGAAGTTTGATTGGATTCAGGTGAGTTTTTTAGGCAAGAATAAAACAGTTGCTGTGCACTTCCTGTCCCACCAGCGATTGTCTGGGCATACGATGTCTGTCTGTCCTCCTTCTGCCAAAGCCAAAAATTATTCGGTGGGTTCAGGTGGCATCAGGCTGGTTCTTGCGTTATGAAGTTCTCATCAGGGCATTTTGGAGGAGTCCTTCTCTCTGAGCCCAAAGGGCTGAGCCTCCTATCTCCGGGAGACGAGAGGAGACTGCTTATCAGTCCGTGAGGACCGGAGCCCCAATGATCCTCCAGGCAGAGCTGCAGGCAGCTTGCTCCATCATAGACCCCCCCCAGAGAACACCTTCACTTCTCCTGTGCCCTGACCATCTCTGAATGCTTGTTCCTTCCTTGGTGGACTTTTCAGAACCGACTATGGAGGAAGACACGGTCCCACAATCCTGGAAGCCCTTGTGTTGGTGCTGATCCAAATAGAAATTGGAATGCTAGTTTTGCAGGTAGGCTGGGGAGGTGGCTTTCCCTCCCTGCTGCCCCTGGGGAGCCTGGTCCATGGGGCTCTGGCTGGCTCCATTCCTGCTTCACTGAGAGACTTGGGCCGATCCCTTACACTCTGTCTCGGGTTGTTTTTTTTTTTTAAACATTTTTGGGGGTAGGTAATTTTGAAAGGAAATGACTCAGCAATTCTTGTTCTCCTGAAAGAACACTTTTTAATTTTTGAAGATTTTATTTATTTATTTGACAGAGAGACAGAGAGAGAGAGCACAAGTAGGCAGAGCAGCAGGCAAAGGGAGAAGCAGACTCCCCGCTGAGCAAGGAGCCCAACGCAGGACCCTGGCAGACGCTTAATCGACTGAGCCACTCAGACGTCCCAGAACACTATTTTAAAAAGGGCTCTAGTCTTAGATGTACAGATCCACCCCCTGTGCCCTGGTCATCCCCGTTTCTCCCAAGCGAGTGACTGGGTGGGTGGAAGGGCTCCTGGTGGTAACTGGGAAGAGAGCAGTTAGCACCATTGACTTAACAGACCAGATTGTGGGACGTCGTGAGGCTTCAACTCTAGCAGTTGACCCTTAGATGTGTCAGTGTGACATGCAGCCCTTTGGTGTCATGGAAAGGGCACGAGGCTTAGGAGACCCGGATTCTGAGTTCCAGCTATTGAAAAATCATCCCTACAGTCTTGCCCACTGGCTGCCAGGTATTTTCCTGTGTGTTAACTTATTTATTCACCTGAGCCGGTGAGTGAGTTTTGTTATCTGAAAGGAGACAGTCGAAGCTCAGAGACAGTCTCAGGAGCATGCAGTCAAGAGTTAGAGTCGAGCCTCACCTTGCATCTCCAGAACCCGGTAGTGCTCTCTCTCGCTCTTCCACAGCTGGGCTGATGTCCTGTCCTCAACGTACTTCTTGCACTTGCACACTCGTCTGCCACACACACCGTGGCAGGGAGAATCATGGGCCTGTGGGAAAGGAGCTGATAGAAATGTGGGAACTGAGGGCATCAAAGTTAAGTCAGATCTTCCCATAAGTGGGGTGGTTTTACACACATGCCAAGTACCTCGGGGAGCTATGTCATGAAGTAGTACAGAAGGCAATATTTCTAAATACCTGTCAAATGCGAGGCTTTAGCCACAACAATAGATTATTTTTGGCAGCACTTGGCCATTAAGATCTGAACCAAGAGAATGAGTTGACACCAGAATAAATGGAGTCATTTTCATTATTAATTGGTATTCATATTAATTATCTAGAATACTTATTAATTACAACTCACTGTCAAGTATGATATGAATTATTTATGACAACTGTTAGTGATGCAATACAAGGTCAACTCTGTCCATTTAAAGGAGTCCTTCCAGTTTTTCTTCCTCAGCTGTGGCAGGTCCAGTACCCTCCCACATCTGCACCCCCCGCCTGGCAATACATACTGCAGACTAGGCTCCTGGGGGGCTCCTCACATTGACCTGTTCACGGCCAGCCCCTTCTGCCCTTCCTCCGGGTTGAGTGTCCTGCATTTCTGTGTTCTTGCGTATGGGTTCATGTTTCTGCTTGGGCCACTCCCCATAGGAGAGGGAGCCAGTGACAACCCTTGCTCTGAAGTATACCACGGACCCCACGCCAACTCGGAAGTGGAGGTGAAGTCGGTGGTAGATTTCATCCAAGAACACGGGAATTTCAAATGCTTCATCGACTTGCACAGCTACTCACAGCTGCTTATGTATCCGTATGGGTACACGGTGAAGAAGGCCGCAGATGCTGATGAACTGGTGAGTGACGGGACGCCTTCCACCTAGACCTGGGCCTGCTTGGCCCCGGGGTGCTGCCACAGTAGTCATTCTACAGCTTACAGGGAAAGTCCGGGGGCCTGGACTTACTTCATTAAGGGCCTGGTCTCTCTCCCTGCCCTTTGGAATGTGCCATCGGACCTACTGGGGACAGGAAGAAGGCCGTTCTCCTTGTTTCTGTGTTTGCTGTGAGTTTCAAGAACCACACCTGACCCCTGCCTTTCCTTCTCAATTGTTCTGACCAAAATATATGACGGACCCACTGCTTGCCAAGAACTGTGGGTGGCACTGTGGTGGGTAAGGGGGAGATGCTCCTCATTCCAGTCAAGGTAGAGTTTAAGTAGGGTGCAGGCTACAGCCTAGGGGTGCTCTGCGTTGCATATAATGACTCGCCCTAGGATGTGAACAGGCACTTAGGGTAGACTGACGAGCAGGGCTGGCATCTGTAGGGTGACTGCAGGCTGCTCCCTCTGTGCTTGTCAGCTCGAGAGTGCCCCCCTGCCCAGGGGCACAGCTAGCCTCTAAACCTCCCAGCAGATGCAGGGTTCATGCTAGGTGTGGGCTAGATTCTGATCTCAAATAGGCATAGGCACATCCATATATGGTGGCCCTGTCTCTACCTCCACTCTGGGAATACCCAACTCTTGGAAGGTTTTCTTTGGAACATCCTTGGCCTTCCCACATGTTCATGAACATGACATTCCCGTCCCTCAGCATAGGTGAAGATGGTGGTGTATTTACTAGATTGGGTTGGTGAGCAGCCCTCCACATCTCATGTATCAGGCTTTGGCTCTGGTTGGATGGAAAAGAAGGAGACTGGAAGGGAAACTTGAGGGAGGGGCCGAGGATCTTCCACACCATCATAGTGCAGAACAGCTGAGGGATGTCAGGCTGTGGAATCCATTCTTTCTCACTCCGCTGGTTCCCCCTCCTAGGACAAGGTGGCGAGGTGTGCGGCCAAAGCTCTGGCTTCCCTGTCGGGCACTACATACCAAGTGGGTCCTACCTGCACCACTGTTTGTAAGTACTCGCTGTCTTGGTTATTCAGAAAATGCTTGGAGAGGAAACTTGCAATGAATTGGGAGAAGAGCTGCAAGTTAGGCTTACTATGTTGTAGCCTGATTATTTTTGTTGTTGGTGATAGACTGAATTTGCGTCAAGCTTATGGGATGATGGCTGCTGTAGGGGGTCATCTTCATCAGTACCACCACCATGGTCATGCTATCTGTCCTGTGCCCGTGGTGAGCTTAGTCCTGCTAGTGTGCTAGAGTGTCCCTTCTAGTCCATGAAAGATCCTGTCATAGTTTATAAAAAATTCCTCAAGCCCATCATTCCATTTTCAAAGGAAACCCACTTTTGGAGAGGCAGACCGAGGTGGCGGGAGTAGGGCTGGAAGCGATTCCCTCACCTTCCCATCAGAAGTGACCACGTGGTGGAGCACAGCATGCCAGGAGCTGGGGTCCTCTTTGCAATGATTAGCATCAAGCCAAAAACAAACAAACAAACAAACTCTACCGAGACTCCAAACCTGAGATGGTCTTCAGGCTCATTACCTACAGCTTCAGCCTCATTTTGAGGAGAAATACCTTTGTTTTGGTTTCTCACTGAAGTGTTTCATCTGAGCATTTCCCTCTGTTCCTACTGAGATCCTTCCAGTTCCCTCATTCCGTGAGCCCGAGCTTTAAACTGAAAGATCAAATTGAAGAGTATTATCATTCTCTGAGAGTCTAGCTATCAATGGGAAATAAAAATATGGACATGAGGAGAAAGGTTCTGACACCTTTAAAGCTAGTGCCCTTCTTTTCCCATCTAGTGTCTCTAACAGTTGGTCCACCCTCAGACCCCCTGCAAACATGCTGACATTTCTGTCTTCTTCCATACTGTAACTCTCCCATCCAATTGCTCCACCCTTAGCTAGCTGTTCCCTTCAGTCTTCCTCTTCTGGGAAGTTTCTCCATCCCCCCTCCTGGGTTCCTGTACCCTGACCTCAGCGCTCTTGTCTGTGTTTCATATGCCACCTTGCTGCATAAAGCAGTTAGCCTGATGTTGGTGTTTGTGTGGCTAATTGCAGCGACCATCCGTTAATTATTCATGGTTGATTATTATTAGTGTTATTAAATGGGAACTCCTCAGAGAAGAAACATATCAGGAGAGTTTCTCCATCCTCTGCTTAATTAGTGAGAACTGAGTTTAGGACTGCAGAGAGGTGAAGAGACTTGGTAGGAGTCCTTTGACGAGGCCCCCTCAAAAGAGCTTTGTGGGTCACCACAGTCCTGGCTTCTGGGTCAAACACCAGTTTAAAGGATGGCCTTGTAATCCCACATCAAACACATTCTTCCCAGCGTATGCTATGCCAAAATCAAGAGATACTCATCGGATTCCTCCAGAACAAGAGGAGGAAGGCTCTCCTGAGTGCTATCCAAAAGACATAATTATTTCCTAAGTCTTTCAAGAGCACATCTTCTGTATTGTTTAAAGGCTTTGTTTACCCTCCTTGCTTTCCAAAAATGTAGTCAATTTTTGTATAACACTCCGATCCCATGGGTTATTGCATGTGCTACATGAATAGTCGACGTTTGTCCCTTCAAGTGCCAGATCTTTTCTTAGATCAACCATTTTAGCTGAAAATAATTCTCAAATAAATTTCACACTTTCTTGCCTTTTTAAACAGAGCAAGTACAAGGGATTGAAGCTCCTTTCTTCATGACGGAGTGGCCTTCTGAACATCAGTTGTAATGTCCTGAAGGCCTTCTGTGCCATATTGTATTTTCAATCCCTGTGCTGGACAGCCCCAAGCCCATTTTGCTTCTTGAATTCTTGTGTCTGCTTTTTTAGAGTTTTCGTGTTTCCTTCCCCTGGTCAGACTGTACTGCTTTCAGGCCACCTGCCTCTAGCAACCTTCTCCCCTTCTCTTCACTACTAAAGGCTGGGACACAAGTTCTTTGGGCTTATTTGACTTGTGGATAGATTGTGAGTAAGAAGGATGTTCATGACAGCATTGTTTATAGTCATAGAAGCCTGGTGAGCACCTAAATGTCCGTCAGTACAGTACTGAATAAAAACACATTTGGTGCAGGCACACAATGAAACAGTGTGCCCCCCTTAAATGAATGAGGTGTGTCTGTATGTGCTAATAGGGAATAATCTTTAAATGTTAGTTGAAAAATATAGTGTGGTTTTTATTTTATTTATTTAAATTTTTAAATTTTTAATTTATCTTATTATTTTTTAAAGGATTTTATTTATTTATTTGAGAGAGAGAGCGCATGAGAGAGAGTGAGCACTGGGGGGGGAGGGGCAGAGGCAGAGGGAGAAGCAGACTCTCTGCTGAGCGAGGAGCCTGAAATACAGTGTGTTTTTAATATTATGTTCCCATTAATGTTAAAAGAGTAGACAGACTGGGGCACCTGGGTGGCTCAGTTGGTTAAGTGTCTGCCTTTGGCTCAGGTCATGATCTAGCCCCGCATCTCGGGGTCCTGGGATCTAGCCCCACATCGGGCTCCGTGCTCAGCGGGGAGTCTGCTTCTCCCTCTCCCTCTGCCCCTCACTTCCACTTGTGATCTCTTTCTCTCAAATAAATAAATAAAATCTTAAAAGAAAAGAGTAGATAGACTTTGAGCAGGGACCCAAATAAAGTGAAGTGCATGCACTTGATCACTTTGCTCGGCAGAGGACTTTTTGCCTCCTTCCTGAATTTAATATGTGTTCTGAAATAGTTGAGCTTACCATATAAACAACCTCTAGAAACTTCTGGTGCCATCATCTGTTTTTTATTCAACATTTTCTCATGGTAGAGGAGGAAGGATTTCAGAGACTATAGGAGAGCCTGTTTCATAACCTCAGGGGGTGTGTCATCACGGTAGAAGCAGCATCTCTAGAAAAATCACAAGTGATATCATGAGAAACAACCCTCGAAAATGATGGAAAAACAAGAGGACCCGTGTTTTCATTTAACAGACATGTACTATGCTAAATGGACTGGAAGGAGGTTGAGGAAAGCATGGGCTTTTTTTCAGCAGATGGCCTTGGGTTTCAGTTTCAGTCCTGCCATTTTCTGTCAATATTTCCTTAGATAAATTCCTCATTCTGAGCCTGGATTTCCTCCTCTGAAAAACAAGGACAGTGATACCCACCTCACTGAGTTTTTAAAGATTAATGAGGTCATAAATGTAAACTTTCCAAAATAGATGACCAGCTCATGGGAGATGTTCAATAAATGATAGCTGCTATTGACATCACTATTTTATTATTCAGTGTCATTCACACTTTGCACTTTTAGCCAGTTTCTGCTCTAGTAGAGTTTGGCTGGAAGAAGCAGGAAAACGGGCCTCTTTCCTTTCTCCAGCCTTTTGGCAAAGGGAAGTCCCAAGGGCTATGCTTCATTCTCTCTGTGTATCAGTTATCTCTTGCTATGTAAAAAGTTATCCTAAAACTTAGCAGCTTAAAATAATAAACATTTACTTTCTTCCACTGTTTCCCTGGGGTAGGAATTCAAAAATGGCTTAGCTGGGTGGCTCTGGCTCAGGGCCTCTCCCAAGATTGCAGTCAAGGTGTCTTCCACGGCTAGAGTCCTTTAAAGGCTTGACTGGGCTGGAGGGGTCTGCTTCTCCGGTGGCTCACTCAGGTGCTGAGTACCGGCAGGAGGCCTCCAGTCTTCACCACCAAGACCTGTCTATAGGACACTCTCTCACCGTCCACACACTCTAACACGTGGCTTTTCCCAGATCAAATGATCCAAGAGAGAGCAAGGCGGAAGCCATAGTATTTATAATCTAGCCTTGAAGGTCACACACCATCATTTCTGCAATCTCCTGTTAGTTACCCAGGTCAGGGCAGCCCCACTCAGTGTCGGAGGGGACTACCCAAGGATATGGAGACCAGGAGACAAGGATCATTGGGGCTGTCTTGGAGGCTACCTATCACACTCTGTGAAGATTGGTTTTGAGTGACCAGAAGGAGTCTACACAGTGAGTTAGTGACAAGGTGGGCACGAAGATTTAAAATCTCTTGGTTTGAGATGAATGAAGACATTCATCATATAGGACAGCCCGAGACGTATGGATCAGGCCAGTGTTTGTGTGTTGGTGGCCTGATGACCTTCAGAAAGAATTCTACATCCCTCAGGAACCACAGGCAGGCAGAACTCCTGAGGCCTACTCATCTAACCCTGAAAGGAACTGGGGTTCCAAGGTGCTTTCTTTTCTGACTTACAGATCCAGCTAGCGGGAGCAGCATTGACTGGGCGTATGATAATGGCATCAAGTATGCATTCACGTTTGAGTTGAGAGATACTGGGCACTATGGCTTCCTCCTGCCAGCCAACCAGATCATCCCCACTGCAGAGGAGACCTGGTTGGGCCTGAAGACCATCATGGAGCATGTGCAGGACAACCTCTACTAGATGAGGAGCCCCACTCAGTCTCCAGTTATTTCTCCCCGTGTATGCGTGCTCGCTAAAGCCACAATTAAAGGGAGCTTGTTCTTCCATGTGGGACTCAGAACCCGCTGGTTTTGTGGGGGGCACATGTCAGCCCCTCCCCAGCCCTCATCCTTGAAGTTCATGCATGCTGGTGGTGCACCTCAGAGAGGCGCTCTTGCCACCCTGCTGTGCTTTGGTCCTGCTGTTTCCTGAGCCCTTTGTGTGCCCTTCCTTTCACATAATTGCTTGGGCAGGCCACACTTAGCATCATTCCGTACTGGGTGGCATGGCTCTACCTCATTTTTAGAACAAAAAAGACATCTAAGATGGTTCCCTGGCCTTGTCCAATCTAGCCAGGCTGGTGACCCTGCCCTGCCGGGGCCCCAGAGGAGACACTGCAGGCGACAATGCCTGTCTTTGAGATCAGTCTCAGAGGTGACATAGAAATTTAATTAATCGCACTCCTTGAACATATTTGTCTTTGAAAAATAAATCTTGTAGGGTTATCAGTAGAGGCCATCTTCCTTTTTTTTTTTCTGGTTTTTGTTTGGGGTCTGAACATTAAATAGTGGATCCCTTCTCATCACTGGGCCCCAAATTTCCAGATATAACAGTTCTGATCACGTTCTTCCCTTTGTTACACATTGTAACTAGTCCCAGAAAGGGATCTGTGTCACTATAGGTACTGCTCACCCAGGAACCCTTAATGAAGTGGTGATCTAATAGTAGGATTGCTAAATTATCCCCATCTGTCCTAATGGGCTCACCTCTATTTTGCCTTTTGAACTCACTTCAAAGATCTTGCCCTCACCCTACGGGTCCTAAATCACTCCTCTGGCCTGGATAATCTCACTGCCCTGGCACATTCCTGTTTGCAGTCTGGTGTACCGTGTGTTTCCTTCTCCTGGCTTTTCTTTTGGTCTTTAAAGACAACTTCCATTTTGCATCCTGGACCATGAGCGTCAAGGTGGAGCAAGGATTCATCAGTCAGGCTTCTCTTGTTCCATTCCTCCTCAGCACATACCATCTGCCCTTTTTTTTTTCCTTTTTTCAAACATGTCTGTAAATCTTATCCTCCTGCCTAGGATTTGTGCGGCATCTGGTGTGTGCTCATAAGCCAATAAATATTCAATATGAGTCTCATGATCATCTCCTATTCTTCGCCTTCACCTGAATGGAACCAAGCCATGGTTTTGAATATGCAGCTCTTTCTAATGTCAAAAGTCAATTTTAATCCCTGTCTGTATCACATGACATGTAGGAGGACCTTCTCCCCGTCAGGCCCAGGAGCCTCCAGGGCACAGTGTTACCTTGGTGATTGCACTCTGGTCCTGGGTCTAGTTCTTAGTTTTTCAGCTCAGGAGCTTGATAGTCTCAGTGTCCATGTTGATTAGACTCGGGGATGCTGACTCACGCCCACAGAGCTCAGATGAGGCAGATGATAAAATCAGAATACGGATTTATTAATTTACATCATGGCATGTAACTGTTTAGTGGATTGGATCCTCACGTCGGTCTGCACAGTACATTCTCTCCCTGTAGGCAAGATACATGGGAAGCCAAATTATAATCAGAAGGTTGTTTAGTGAGCAGGGCGTCAGAGCAAGGAAAGTTAATTACAGTCTGTGATTAGAATTTTTAATGGTATCCAGCTCTAATAGTATGATATATCCAATTCTATAACCAGAACACACCTGCCAGCCAGCCAGCTGGTCACTGGTGCTGGCTAGTCAGGGTTGCCTCCGACCAGGCAATGCCCCAGGAGGCCTGGTCTGTAACCTGGCTCTATGTGTAGACTCCTCACCCCCAAGACTGAGAGTGTCCTTTAGATCCCTTGAGGGAAAGAGTTCTTCAGCAATACATAAAAAGCCATAAAGAGAATACCTGTGACTACAATCAAATTAAGAGCTTCTGTTAGGTAAAAGACATGTAAAGAAAGTGAGGAGTAAAGTTATAAACTAGAAGATGTTCACTATATTCATATACACACAACAAAGGGCATATGAAGAACTCCTACAGATCAATAAGAAAAGCACAAAGAACCAAGAGAAAATGGACAAAAGCTGCGAGCCAGCATTTCACAGAAGAGGAAACAGGTGTATTTGATCGAGGACCTATGAGTCAAGACTGCAATGAGATGCCATTTTATACTCTTTCAATTTACAAAAATCAAAATGTTGGAGAGGAGGTGGATGATAGGATCTCTATTATCGGTGGGCATATGAATGTGTAAAACCACTTTGGAAAATAGTTTGGCATTACCTTCTAAAGTTCACACATTATGGTCCAGCTATTCTACCCCAGGCATAAACCCAAGAAATTCTTGGACATATACAACAGGAGACATAATGAGAATGTTCATAGCAACACTGTTCATAATAGCAAAAACCTAAAAACAACTAGCAAGTGCACCAGTGGGAGAATGGGTGAATAATGTATGGTATTTTCACATACTGAAATATACAACAGAAGAAAATTTAGTATGATTTTTTTTCTAGAAAGTTCCAAATAACTGAACAAAATGCAAGTAATAATTCATTTTCAGGAAGACATACAAAATTTGATAAAATTGTAGAGAAAGGGAAGAAAGATAGGATCTATGCTCAGACCCCTTATCCTTTTCAAGTGTACCGATTCCCAGCTGCTATGAGTGTTGGCTGCCAACAGCTCAAGGCTCCCTCCCTCTCTGGAGAATTGCTGTTAGCCGAATAGGGGCTGACTCACACAGGAAGTAATGCACTTGTTTTCCCTATATCACCTCCCCAAATGTCAGCCAATGACTGACTAACTTGGGGGCACAAACAGCTAATCTTTTGCCTCAACGTAGGGTCACACTGTGGTGCAATGTGGGCTCCAGAACTCTGAATACGTTTTCCAGCTGATTCCACATCCTTCCTTAGCTTCGCCCCCCCCCCCATCCTGTCCTGCTTCCCAAACTCTCCTTCTCCTGAGAACTCCCTCAAAAAAAATCACCTAAACAAGAATCTCATCTCAAGCTCTGCTTCTAGGGAAATGGACTTAAGACAACAGGAAGTGAAGAGCCTGGCATTCTGAGTGATGATTACCTTGGATGGGGAAAGGCGGGGGATGAGATAGGGGCCAGGGACCTACGGTTAGATTCAGGTTCTGTTTTTTTTCAGGTATTTTTACCTAATTTAGAAAAAAACAAACCCTAATTCAATAGCTAAATAAATCATAAAAGAGGGCCATGCATGGATCAATGATGAGCATGCCATTAGCCAACAAGGATTATGATTAATCTATTTCTATGGACCTGAAATCCAGTTTTAAAAATGTTTATAAAGGTGCAGATTTTAACACAAAAATGTTTTCCTATTCAATATGCATTTACTGAGCGTCTAGTGTGCCAGTGACAGTTTTAGATGCTGGCAAGGCACTAGCAAACAAGAAGACAAAATTCCTTCTTGCATGGAATTTCATTGTTGTTGGAGAGACAGAAAGTACTCAAGAAAACAAATTAAAAATTTTAATTTGGTTAATGAGAGCTGCCATAAATAACAGAAAACTGGCTGCTGGAAGGAGAGAGATGTATGGTGGTGGGGCCTCTTGACTGGGAAAGTTAGAGAAGACGGTGTTTGGGCTTGTGGTATAAAATTTTTCTTAACTCTCTTCTTTGTGTTCTTTTGGTACTCCCCAAACCACATGAAAAATGTAGGCTAGATGTTATTATCCACATTTTACAGGTGAAAAATCTCAAGAGCAGTGTGTCTCTTGCCTGAGACAAGTAATTAATATTTTCTGTTCTCTAAGTGAAGACCCCACCAAAAAAGAGAAAACTTGAGCCATAAACATTCATGGACACAACTTAAATTTCTGAAACACACTTAAGTTTGGAAGGCTTCCGTACCTCATCAAATGAGTCTCTATGGAATTTTCCACTATTAAGGACACCAGTGAGGATCGAAAAGGGACAGTCCACTGATAATGAAAAAAAGTATTTTGAGTTCTTTTTTTGCAGTACTGGGGGTGGAGTGGGGTTTGTTGAGCCATCCCCAAGTCTTACACCCAGTCTTGTGGGGGTCCAAAAGAAGACCTCGGTGACGTGGCTGAGGATGAGGGATATAGTCCATGGCTGTTGATGGGACTAGCTGTCACCTCTGTGCTACCCACTTGAAACCAGAGCCACCCATGGAACTGCAGCCACCTGGGGACTGACACACAGACCACATCCACTTCTGTCTTCTGGGTTACAGATGGTGAGGAGCGGTAGGATAGCCCAGCTCCTTCACTTGGCCATGTGTCCTCGGGTGTTGATGGACTCTCTGGGAGCTCCAGTTTCCTCATATTTAAAATGAGAATAATGGTAGTATTTAGAATAGTGTCTCAAGAGTATTCAGGAAGCTGACGTATTAAAGTATGAAGCACCTTTATCCCGCAGCAGCAGTTCTCAGTGTGTGTTAGCTTGAATCATTATTCTCACCAAGAGGTGGACATTCATTTATGAATCAGATGATTGGCATTTCCCCTAAATTCCTTTAGATTTTTCATGAGGCTTAATGACAAAGATCTCAACAGTTCACAGAAAAGCGCTGGTTGGATGCTAGGTCATTTTTAGTATTATTTGGGTTTTGAAATATTGGGGTTCTTTCTGTGGGAGCGTTCCCATGTTAAATAGTTATTGATGCCCCTTTACTGGGTTAATACAAAGGATTATTGCCCGAAGCCTTCACAGGTCCAGCTTTCACGAACAACCATGTCAAGTCTATGGGGTCACCTTTGATTTTCACAGGTGCTGGGAAGACCCCACTGTAAATTTCTTGCGAGTGAAGTTGAGGGTATGTTCCAGCCCTGGAATGTACTATGGAGGTTGCCCTTCTTTTATGTCACTACTAGGACTACCTATATATAATATATATATTCTTCATATATATATATAATATATATATGAAGAATCATTTATATTGTCATCATCATCCTTATCTTTCTGTTTGACGAATTCTGGACTTTTGCCAAACCAGACAGCTTGTAAAATAAATCCACTGTACTATTTGTATTGAGCCTTAAATCATGAGCACCAGCTGTTTCTTGTATTTGAAGTAAAGCTCCAGGTGTACTGGGGGCATCCAGAGAGCACAGTTTTTTCCTCCTCTAGGATGCATAGGTACTGTGGTGTAGCTGGGTAACTTGCTCCTTTAATGCAAAAAGTGAATCTCATGGTTTTGTGTGATTGATTGATTCATTAATTACTTTTTTGTATCTCCTACAAGATCGAGCTCAGCAGCTAGTAAATATTTGTTGATTTGATTTGCTGCAGGGACAGCGAGTTAACAATTGCATAAGCCATACTCTCAACAAGTTAGGGCAGCAGGAAAAGGGTACTTTTCCCAACCAATTGGTGGAATTCTGGAAAACAGCTTGGAATGCATGTGCCTAATTTCTAAGAGACAGCATAAATTAAACCTTCAGAGATAAGAAAGACTTGATACTGGTCACATTGCTTGCATTTTTGTAATGATTTGTAGTTTTAAAATGCTTTTATAGATATTGGATAATTAAATTATCACAACCACCCGGTGATATATGCAGGATGGCTATTACTACTATCCCTGCTTGACTGATGAGGAATCTGAGTTTTAAAGAGGTGAAGTAGCATGCCCAAACATACACAGATGGAAATGATGAAGCAGATTTTCAAGACCAGTCTCATAGGTTGTTGCTCAGGAAGCAACTTGAATACCTTTAAAATGCACAGAGTTCCTCCAGCCCCTCTGGTCTCAGAGCCCTATGTCATCCGCCTGGCTCCTGGAACCTTTGTTTCCAGTTTTGCAGTGATGAGAGGGGATGTAGGGAGGAAACAGGAGCCCAGGTCCCCCTCTCTGCCTGCCACTGCTGGCCGATGATGACCACAATTGAGGGGTGTTTTGTGTGGTTCCTGTGGGTCTGCCCTTCCTGTGCCTGAGCCCAAGATTGCCATCCAGGGAGAACTTGGAATTAATGAATTAATGTTTTACTTATTATGAAACATCTGGAATGGACCCCAAACACTATTTCCATCCTTTAGGCCTTTATGCCCTTTCATAGGGATTAGACAACCCAGAGAACCACCAAACCCCATCTTTAACTGTTAGCTTCTCAAAATTTGGATGACAAAATGTCCCCTTCTCTCAACAAGC